CCTGCATACATATTCTCCAGGGGGCAATCACTGTGGCTTAGCAAGTTAAGGTTCCCCCTACAGTGCCAGCGTCCTATATGGACACCAGTTTGAGTCCTGACTACTCCATGTCTGATCCAGTTCCCTGCTAGTGAGCCTAGGACAGCAGCAGAGGATTGTCTAGTGTGCGGGCCTCTGCACCTTTGTGGGAGACCCAGAAACGTGGCTCCTGGCCCAGCCCTGGCAATTGCACTTTCTTGAGGTGTCAACCTCGGCTAATAGAAGATTTATCTCTCTTTCCCTCCCTTTATTTCTCTTTCTTTCTCACTATGCCTTTAAATAAATAAAATACTTTTTTTTTAAGACTTCAGGAGCTGGCATTGTGGCGTAGCAAATTAGGCAGTCACCTGTGATGTCAGCATCCCATATGAGCACCAGCTTGAGTCCCAGAGGCAGCACTTCCAATTAGCTCTCTGACAATGGTCTTAGGAATGCAGTAAAAGCTGGGCCAAGTGGAATTCCTAGCTCCTGGCTCTGCCTGGCCCAACTCTGGCAGTTCAGTCATTTGGGGAATGAACCAACAGATGGAATATCACTCTCTCCTGTTTTCTAACTCTCAAATACATAAAATAATCTTCTTTTAAAAAGACTTCAAAAAGAAGGTATTTCCAGATGAGCCAGTTAAGGGGATGGCCACAGAAATGGGCTAGAAAGATGAGATGGGCGGAGGTGTTGGATATCAAAGATCTCTGGAGGATCCCCATCAAAGAGTGGAAGACACTGGAGTCAGCTGTGGCCAAGGAGCTTGAGGGCAGGTTGGGGGTGACCCTGAAGCTCAGTGGTGACCATGGCAAGTGAGGGTAGCAGGCTGCAGAGCAAAAGCTTTCAAAGCAAAAAGTCCACAGCCCAAATGAATGAGTGAGCAGTGGCAGGGAAGAAGGAGGAGGCAGCTTGGGATACTGACACCAAGCTCTCAGAGAAAAAGAGGCTTCACCCAGCAGAGGATCCTAGTGGCAGCCCTGGGTGGCCACTCAAAAATAATGGCAACATCTTGTGAAAGCACAGGAGGCACAGCGGGGCTTGCCAATGAAACAAAGCTTCCAAAAGGTCCAGGGGATACTGCCCTTGCGAAACACATTGGTGTTTCACTTGCTCTGTATAATGCTTCCTTCCACATTTCAGCACTTCATTTGTTTGTTACAACTGCGACAGTGAGTATGATTCCCTTTTTCAAATGCCGAATGCTGAACTCAGACATGTGAAGTCCCCTACTCAAAGGTGCCTTAGTTAACACCAATGGCCACGCCGGCAAAATAATGCAGAACATGTGCCCCACAGCCGGAATTTAACAGCAAGCTGCAGGAGAGACTGTGTCCCTCCAAAAAGTGAGGAGCCGGTGGAGGAAAGATAGCTGACATGTACATAGCAGTTACTATGATAACTGTTGGCTTACTAATGCAAAATGGAGAACGGTGAGCAAAAAACAAATATGGTACCAGAGTAAAGGTTATGTGGGAAAACGGTGTGCCTGATTGAACAAGTGTTTGTTCCCAGCCTACTGCCAGAAAGACATTGCACTGGCTTCTCAGCATGAATTTCTTTTTCCCTGAGAAAACAGAATGGCAGAGAGAAGGACAAAAAGAGAGAAACTTCCATCTGCTGGGTCACTGTCCAAATGGCTAAAGCAGCTGAAGCCAAGCCCACCCGAAGCCGGGAGCCTGGAGGCTCCTCCGGGTCTCCCACGTGGGTGCAGGTTTCAAGGTTTTGGGACATCCTCTACTGCTCTCCCAGCTCACAAGCAATATCGGGGGACACTTAAATAAGAGACTGACAGAATTATGACTCCTAATGAAGGACTATACTGTTGTAGCAACATGAGGAATATCTGTCAGGGGGTGGAAGTTTGTGGGGGTGGAAATCCCAGTCTATAGGAATATTGTACCACAAAATTCAAAAATTCAAAATAAAAATATAACAACAACAAAAAAAGCAGAGAGCTGAATCAAAAGTGGGACAACCAGATGAACCTATGCCCATATGGCACTGTAAATGGAGGTTTCATTACTACCCTACATCACCTGCCCCAAGATTATTTTTTAAGATTTATTTTATTTTTATTGCGAAGTCAGATATATAGAGAAGAGACAGAGAGGAAGATCTTCCGTCCAATGATTCATTCCCCAAATGAATGTAATGGCCAGTGCTGCGCTGATCTGAAGCCAGAAGCCAGGAGCTTCTTCCAGGTCTCCCACATGGGTACAGGGTCCCAAGGCTTTGGGCCGTCCTCGACTGCTTTCCCAGGCCACAAGCAGGGAGCTGGATGGGAAATGGAGCTGCCAGGATTAGAACCGGCGCCCATAAGGGATCCTAATTTGTTCAAGGAAAGGACTTTAGCCACTAGACCACCGCACTGGGCCCCAAGATGATTTTATTTTTAATTGGAATTAAATGGCCAGGAGCTATGAGCTTTTTTCCAGGTCTCCTGTGCAGGGTCCCAAGGCTTTGGGCCGTCCTTAACTGCTTTCCCAGGCCATAAACAGGAAGCTGGATGGGAAGTGGAGCAGCTGGGCCATGAACCAGCGACCAAATGAGATCCTGCTGCATGCAAGGCGAGGACTTTTGACACTAGGTTACTGCACCAGGCCCCAATTTTTTTTTTTTTTAATGAAAAAGAACCTCATTGTTACGTGTTCATGTTCTTTTATAATCCTTTATCATGAAGAATTTTACCATTCAGGACAGTTATAAAAACATGTGCTCCTTGGGTGAATTGGGCTATTCCTGGAGACAAAGCAAAGCAGGGCTGAGTGGCTGGGCCCCTTCTCTGCTACAGGAAGGACCAGTCTTATGTTTCGATTAGAACTGAGGAAAAGTGGAGCGTGCAAATTCAGATTATTCACTTGTACACGGTGGAGGCCGGATCTTCATCCTAAGCTTCTGAGAAAAATGTCAGGCCCTTTCCAGTTCTTCCTGAAACAAATACCCTTTTGTGGAAAGCATCAAGCACATTTAGCTTCTGAGTAGAACCTGGAAAGGTACTAGGCCTGGGAAAGCTTTTTTTTATTGGAAAGGCGGATATACAGAGAGGAGAGACAGAGAGGAAGATCTTCCGTCTGATGATCCACTCCCCAAGTGAGCACAACGGCCAATGCTATGCCAGTCCGAAGCCAGGAGCCTCTTCTGGGTCTCCCACGCAGGTGCAGGGTCCCAAAGCCTTGGGCAGTCCTCGACTGCTTTCCCAGGCCACAAGCAGGGAGCTGGATGGTAAGTGGAGCTGCCAGGACTAGAACCGGCGCCCAAATGGGATTCTGGTGTGTTGAAGGTGAGCGCTTTATCCGCTAGGCCACCACACCGGGCCCCAGCCCTATATTTTAACAAGGGAGTTCCCCAAATTCTTCTATCAGACCAGCTTCTAATTGAGGCCTCACGCACATCAATGAGTTTTTGGCTCAGCCTGACTTGACCCACCTCCAGGCCCTACATTACAGTCGGGTACTGTAGCCTTGCCAGACCAGCCCATGGCCTTTCCATATCTGTACATAGGGTGCTACAGCCTAGCTCTGTCTGACCCACTCCCAGACCCGGCTCTCATGTGGATCAGTGGGTGCTGCAACCCAAACCAGCTTGTCCCACACCCCTCTGGTTCTTTGAAATGCCAAGTCTAGCTCATCCCCAGAACCATCTCACACACATGCTGAGGGATGTTGCAGCCATCTTCAGCCAGATTTGCCCCTAATCCCAGACACTGTACTCACCAATGGGAACCACAACCCAGCAGGACGTCCCTTTAGCTCTTCAACTGGGCCCTCTGTCAGCCATAAATTCTGCACATGCAATGGTTGCTCTGACCCAACTTGGCATAACCCATCACCTTGCTTGGTCTTTGCTATCAGATGCTGCAGCCTGGTTTGGCCCAGCCCATTCCTAGTCCCGACTCTCAGTGGTGAGTGCTGTAGCTTAGCCCAGTCCAGCCTCCCCCTATCCCTGGCTTTCAATGGACACTGGCAGGTGTGATAGCCTAGCCTGTTACGGCCTGCACACCATCCTGGCTCCTGCACATGCCAGTGTGCTATGGTTAGGTCCAGCCCTGCCTGGTCTGCGCCCCCCCCCCCCACACACACACCCCTAGCCAACCCACACACCTGCTGGCAAGTGGAGCAGCTTGCTGGGCCTGACCAAAACCCAGCCCTGACACCCATGCTCACAGGGGGAGCTACAACCTACCAGAGAGTTCTGAGTTCCCCCACCAGCCTCACTCCCAGACCCAGATCTCATGCACGCCAGCAGGTGTGGGTCTTACCCAGTAGAGTCCACCCCCCGCCCCAGTATTACCCCAGTGTGTACTGGTGGATGCTCTGGCCTGGTCAGCCGCATACCCAATTCTTGGGTGGGCCTGTGGTCCTACAGCCTGAACCAGCCCAACCTGCTCCCCACCCCAGTACCATGAGTGTTGGATTGCTTCATTGTCAGGCCTAGCTCAGTCTGTCACCACTCTCAGCCTCTGAGCAAAGCAGCAGACATTGCACTCCTACAGCTATGAGCCCAGATATCCCCCACAGCTTCTGCCTCCACACCCAGTTCTCTCACGTGCTGCTTAGTGTCATTGTCCAGCCTTAAATGACTCATTCCCTGTTCTGACACTCACTGGCAGGTACTTTGACCTACCCCTGCCAGGCAGGCTTCCCAGCCCTAGCTTTCATGTGCACTGGTGGGTGGTAGTCGATGCTAACTAGCCCAGCTCAGGTGTCCCATGTGGGGAGTACATTGGTCTGACCCATGTGGGGTCCTCCAGCTTCCTTTCTCCAAACTACCCTGTCTCAGCCCCTTCGTTTACCTCCGAGTGCTGTGGCCTGGTTGGTGGCAGTCCCTCCGAAGTCACTCCTCGATGTAACATACACCCTCAGCAGTCCCCTACCCTGCACATCCCCATACATCGCAAAAGACAAAGCTGCCTGATTCCGCTCAGCTCAGCCATCCAGAGGAGCCACAGAGACTGAATGTACAGGCTGGCTGCTACTCACCCCAAGAGAGGGAGGCCGGGGAATTGCTTAAGAGTTACAGTGTCAGTTCTGTAAGATGAAAAAGAGTTTTGGAAATTGATTACACAATAATGTAAATTACTTAACATTACAAAATTCTAAGGACCCACACTGTGGCTGATATCAGGGTAAGCCTCTGCCTATGGTGCCAGCATCGCTACTGGTGCCACTTAAGAGTCCCAGCTGCTCTACTTTCCATCCACCCGAGGCCTGCTGATAGCCTAAGAAAACAGTGGAAAGCTGTTTAGGGGACCCTGTACCAACGTGGAAGAACTAGAAGCAGCTCCTGGCTCCTGGCTTAGGACCAGAGCAGCTCTGACTGAGTAAGCCATTTGGGGAGTTGACCACCAAATGAAAGAGCTCTGTCTCTGTCTCTCCTCTCACTGCAACTCTGCCTTTCCTAAACAAACAAACAAATAAATAAATCTGTTTTGAAAAAATTCTATGTATGGGGCTGATACAGTGGCACTACAAGTTGATCCTCCACCCTGTGGTACAGGCATTCCATATGGGTGCAGGTTTGAGTCCTGACTGTTTTGAATCCAATCCAGCTCTCTGCTAATGACCCAGAGAGCAGTGGAGGATGGCCCAAGGCCCTGGTCCAATGCACTCATGTGGGAGACCCGAAAGAAGCTTTTGGCTCCTGGCTTTAGATCAGCTCAGCTGTGAAAGATCTCTCAATCTTTATCTCTCCTTCTCTCTCTGTAAATTCTGCCTTTCTAACAAAAATAAATAATTCTTAAAAAAAAAAAAAACCCTACCCTTAAAATGGTTAGGATGGAGACTAGCACAATGGCTCATGTGGCAAATCCTCGCCTTGCAAGCACCAGCATCCCATATGGGTGCCAGTTCATGTCCCAGCTGCTCCATTTCCCATCCAGCTCCCTGCTTGTGGCCTGGGAAAGCAGTAGCAGATGGCCCAGAGCCTTGGGACCCTGCACCTGCTTGGGAGACCTGGAAGAGATTCCAGGCTCCTGGCTTCGGATCGGCTCAGCTCCAGCCGTTGCAGCTGCTTGAGGTGAATCAGTGGCTGGAAGATCTTCCTCTGACTCTCCTCCTCTCTATATATCTGACTGTGCATAAAAATAAATCTTTTTTAAAAAGTTTTAAAAATAAAGCAAATTAAAATCTTTTCCAATGATTAAAATGGGAAATTTTGTGTTTTACCAGAACTAGCTTTCTTAAATTCCATAATTCCTTCATTTCATCTATTAGTCTATCTAGCATCTGAATTTCCAACTCTTTTTAAAAATATCTATTGATTGATTTTTACTGGAAATTCAGAGAGACAAAGAGGAAAATCTGCCCTCTGAATCACTCCCCAGGTGCACACAATGGTCAGTGCTATGCCAATCTGAGGCCAGGAGCCAGGAAATTCTTCCAGGTCTCCCACACTCCCTTCCCAGACCACAAGCAGGGAGCTGGATGGGAAGCAGGGTGACCGGGATTAGAACCAGTGCCCATATGGGATCCCAGTGCATCCAAGGCGAGGACTTTAGCTGCTAAGCTACTGTGCAGGGTTCCCAACTCCTTTTTAAAATATTTATTCTTGTTTGAAAGGCAGAGTTAGAGAGGAGGAGAGACAGAAAGGCCCTCTCGCAGCAGTTCACTCCCTAAGTGTCCTCTGCAACAGCACATGCTAGGAGCCGAAAACCTCTTCCAGGTCTTCCAGATGGGTGCAGAGGTCCAAACACCCATCCTCTGCTGCTTTCCCAGGCCACAAACGGGAGCTGGAATGGAAGTGGAGCTGGGCTCAGAACTGTTGTCCATATGGGATGATGGCACCACAGGCAGAGGCTTAGCTTCCTACACCATGGCGCTGGCCCCCTCCAACTGTTACACTTTCATAGTAGTGATGGGATATGGAAGCTAAGCTTCTGCATGGCACACAGCATCCCTGGCTTCAGACTGACCAGTCCCAGTCCTTGCAGCTATTCAGGGAGGTAAGCTGTGGACAGTTTCTTTCTATTTCTCCTTCTCTATAAATCTGCCTTTCTAATAAAAATAAATATATCTTGCCACAAGATAATTTGTCCTGTGATTTCTCATTGCCTGCCTTCTTCTTCTACTACTACTTTTTTTTATTGGAAAGGCAGATACACAGAGAGGAGAGATAGATCTTCTGTCTGCTGGTTCACTCCCCAAGTGGCCACAACAGGTGGAGCTGAGCCGATCTGAAGCCAGGAGCCTGGAGCTTTTTCCGGGTCTCCCATATGGGTGCATTGTCCCAAGGCTTCTGGCTGTCCTAGACTGGTTTCCCAGGCCACAAGCATGGAGCTAGATGGGAAGTGGAGCCGCCAGGACATGAACTGGAGCCCATATGGGATCCCAGGCGTGCAAGGGGAAGATTTGACCACTAGGCTATCCTGTTGGACCCTCATCCTCAACATCCTTATGGCTGCAACCCAGGTGGTGGTTAACACCTCCTTAGTCCCGTGTGTTTGCTCTAGTCGGACTTTGGGCCCTGGTTTAGTTTCTCTGGGCCTCAGGAAGATGCTAAGGAAATCTGTTTCTGCCTGACACTGCAGAACCTGAAAAGCGAGAGGCAACTGCCAAGCTGCTTAGAGGAAATCGCAGCGTGAGACTGAGAAGGGCTGTGACAAAGACGCCGTCCTCAGCCCACAAACCCAGGTCACTCAGCTGCCAAGCCGGGCAGGGAGCTGCAGGGACGAGGCGGAGCCACAGCGGGAGAACCTTTCGTCCCCTTACCACAGGCACAACAATGTTGTCAAACCGACGCAGGCAGGGGCGGAGCCTTAGGCCGGATGTGACGCGCGCCCGGCGGCGGTGTCGTCACAGAGGCTGGGAGCCGCCGCGAGGGAGCGTCCCGGCCGCGCTTGGGTTTCCGGCAGTCTTCCCGGGAGACCCGCGGGGTGCGGCCGGGAGCGGGCGGCACCCACGGGGCTTTCCGGTGACCGCCACCGCCGGCGCGACGGCGGCTCCGCCGACGTGATGTTTCGAGGGTTAAGTAGCTGGCTTGGCTTGCAGCAGCCGGCGCCCAGCAGCGAGCCACCCGTGGGAGACGAGCAGCCCACGGGAGAGCTTCCGCCGCCGTCGCGGCTCGAGGAGGAGGCACCGTCCCCTCTGGCGGAGCAGCAGCGAGCGGGGGAGCCGGAGCTCCTCCACCAGGCCAAGGGCCTCGGCAGTGAGTCTCTCCCGGCCCCCGGGACCGGAGCCTAGGGGGCGGGGGTTGCGGGCGTTCCCCGGCTGTGACGCCGGCGGGGCCGGCCTCCCTGGCCTGGCGGAGGGGAGGAAGGTGTGTCCGGCGGGCTGCCCGTTCTCTGGTGCGCGGGGAGGAGCTGGGCCCGGCTGAGCGTCCGGGCAGTTGACTTCTGCCGTTGACGTTGCTGAGGAACGACGCGTCCCTCTGCGACGAGTCTGTGTACTCCTGGAACGTGGCTGCACTCGGGCGGCAACAATTGGCGTCGTGGTCGCGCAGCTTCGCCTGTACGCTCGCTCGGTCTTGCGCTGGAAGGGGAACGCGGGCGGACTTAGTTTCAAAGGGGCCTTGTTGCTCGTGGCCAGAACGCGTCGTTTCTAGAAAATTGAATGCTTCTGTCGTGCTCACCTGCTTGGCTGCCAGCTGTCTGTCCCATGCAAGTTGCAGTGTCACCTATTTTACACACAAACAGCTGGGGCTAGGCCAGCTGGTTTCCCGCAGAGGTGTCAGAACCCAACTGCTGGAGCCTACACCTGCTGCTTCTCAGGGCGCACGTTCACTGGGGCTGCGACTCCAGCCCAAGCACACAGACAGGGGATTGAAAAATCGCACGCAGCATCCTGTGTCGAACGCCCTTCCTAAGCAAGTGAAGCTCACGTCGGCACACGGACAATGTAAAGGGGATGAGGGGTACCAGTGCGGCTCGAGGGAAGCCGGGGGTAGGTGTGTATTCATGTTCCTAGAGCCTAACCCAATCAGCGTCAAGCCAATAGCACGCTTCCCCAGACTTGGCGCTTTACTGTCCATGGGAATCCTCCCGCTTGTGTTTAGTAATAGCGCCGCAGTATTTTCTAGTTTGTGATGTCAATATATCTACTTCGATGCTAATGCCCTCATCTTGCCTGCCTCACCAGATTTCCTGTGGATGTTTGCAGAGGCTGAGCTTAGATGCAAATACCAACCTACTCCCAGATGGTACATTCAGATTTTCAGAATACATGAGAGCTCTATGCTTTCTAAAATTTGTGTAATTCTGTGTTATTTATTTGTTTCTTACGAAAACATTTATGCAACCAGCATCGTGGTATAGGGGGTCAAGCCACTGCCTGTAACACCAACATTCCGTATAGGGGCCAGTTTGAGTCCTGGCTGTTCTACTCCCAATCCAGCTCCCTTTTGATGCACCTGGGAAAGCAGCAGATGGCCTAAGTGGTTTGGCCCCTGCACCCACATGGGAGACTCAGATGAAGCTCCGATGCAACCATTTAGGGAGTGAACTAGTGGAAGGAAGACCTCCTCCAGATCTCCAGGCCCAGTCTATAACTCTGCCTTTCAAATAAATCTTTTTTTTAAAAAAAAGAAATTTATTTATTTTCATTGGAAAGGCAGATTTACAGAGAGAAGGAGAAACAGAAAGAATTTCCATCCACTGGTTTACTCCCCAAATGGCCTCAGTGGCAGAGCTGAGCCAATTCAAAGCTAGGAACCAGCAGATTTTTCTGGATCTCTTGTATAGGTGCAGGGTCCCAAGGCTTTGGGCCATCTTCTACTGCTTTCCCAGGCCACAAGCAGGGAGCTGGAAGGGGAATGGAGCAACCAGGATACGAACCGGTGCCCATATGGGATCATGGCACATGCAAGGCGAGGACTTTAGTCACCAGGCTATGGCACCAGGCCCTCAAGTAAATCTTAAAAAGATTAGAGGGCAGGTGTTGCCTTGTAGCACGTAAAGCTGCTGCCTGCAACTTCAGCATCGCGTATGGGTGCTGGTTTGAGTCCCAGCTACTTAATCTGATCCAGCTCCCTACTCATGTGCCTGGAGAAGCAGTGGAGGATGCTCAAGTATTTGGGCCCCTGCACTCATGTGGGAGACGCAGATCAGCTTCAGGTCAGACCAGCCCCTGTTGTTGCAGCCATTTAGGGAGTGAACCAGTGGACGGGAGGTCTCGTACCAGTCCCACTTTTTCTCTTCAACTCTGCCTTGTTTGTTTATTTGAAAGGCAGAGCTACAAAGACAATGAAATGCAGAAAGAAATCTTCCCTCTGCTAGTTCACTCCCCAAATGGCTGTAATGGCCAGGGCTGGGCCAGGCTAGAGCCAGGAGCTTCATCTGGATTTCCCACAAGGATGCAGGGGCCCAAACAAGAGCCACCCTCTGCTGCTTTGTCAAGTATGATTGAAGTGGAGCAGCTGGGACTTGAACCAGTGTGCATACGGATGCTGGCGTCAGCTTTACACACTGGGCTGTAACACTGGCTCCTGGTTTTTTTGGGGTTTTTTTTTGTTTGTTTGTTTTTGTTTTTTTTTTTTTTTTAGATTTATTTATTTATTGGAAAGTCAGATATACAGAGAGGAGGAGAGACAGAGAAGAAGATCTTCCATCCAATGATTCACTCCCCAAGTGAGCGCAATGGCTGATGCTATGCCGATCCGAAGCCAGGAGCCTCTTCCGGGTCTCCCACACGGGTGCAGGGTCCCAAGGCTTTGGGCCGTCCTCGACTGCTTTCCCAGGCCACAGCAGGGAGCTGGATGGGAAATGGAGCTGCCAGGATTAGAACCGGCACCCATATGGGATCCCGGGCATTCAAGGCGAGGACTTTAGCCGCTGGGCCACGCCGCCAGGCCCTATTTTTTCTTTTTAATATCTATTTTTTCTTATGTTTAAATCTTTAACCAATTCAATGTGGTTTGTAGATGCAATTCTGAAAATATTACGATATGCCCTTCCACCCTCCACTTTCCCTTCCCCTTCCTCTCTCCCTCCCTCCTTCCTTCTCCCTGATTTGCTGTCTTTTTTAAACATTTATTTAATCAGGAGTCAGAGTTACAGAGCGCCATCTTCCATCTGCTGGTTTGCTCCCCAGCTGGGTTAGACCAGACCAAAGATAGGAACCAGGAGCTTCTTGGGGGTCTGCCACATGGCTCAGGGGCCCAAGGACTTGGACCATTTTCCACTGCTTTCCCAGGCACTTTAGCAGGGAGCAGAATTGGAAGTAGAGCAGCCAACACTCGAACGGGCATCCACATGGGTCCCTAGCAGGTCAGCTGGTAGCTTACTCTGCTGTACCTCAGCTCCGGCCCCTCGTCCCTGTCTTCGTCTTTTGACATCTGTTTGGAATCTTCTGGGTATGCCACTTGTCTCCACACATCTTGTGGAGTGCCTGTCTTTAAAACTAGACTCAATACTTCTTGCTTCACGTGACCTGGACCTGAAACCCAGACCCATATCTACTCCGTCACCCCAAACCAACCACTATCCTTGGCCTTGGAACTTCCTCCTGAAAGGACTGGCTCCCGGGAGGCAAGGGTTAGGGGGTTGTGCCCTGCCTTTGCACAGGCCTGTGCCCTCAGTTGGCTTCCGTGCTAGTCACCCACATTTAGTGCTTCACTGGTATCCTTTCTTTTAAAAAAGTCCAAGCCCCGCCCTGGAGATGGGCAAGTGTCAGTGAAGCCTGCAGTTTGCATCAGTGGGAGGACTACCAGAGAGGAGCTTTGGATTTTTTCTCATTTGAGTATGTTAGTATTGTAGTGGAACTATCAGATCATCTAAGAAATGTGCATTGAAGTTCCAGATGCCTCATTGGCAACGTGTATGTGTCTGCTTTGATACAGAACTAAAATGTATAATTGAGTTCTGATGGCAAACTCAGGTTTGGAATGCGAATGGTCAAGAGCTTGTATCCTATGGCTTCTGAATAATTTGAAGAAGAAACTTAGAGTCATTGTGTTTTGAGTATCTGAAAGCCGTTTGTAGAGAAGTTATTTACATTCCTTCACAGGACACAGGGCTGAGAGGCGAGGTGATAAGGGAAGTGAGCATGACTTTTGAAGTAGTGATAGCTAACAGTAGCAAGTGGCTGCCCTTCATGTCTTTGACTCCCCGTTCTTAGACATGTAGCTACCTGGATAGGTGGTTGAATTAGGCAGCATCTAAGGTCCCTTACTGCACTAAAATTCAGAGATTCTAATATTGCTTGTAATGTATCTTTGACAAAGTAGTTGTCCTCTTCATGAGAATATTCGTGTGCTAAGGCTTTAACACACTTTGCTCGTTTTCTTGTTCTAGCAGTGGGCTTTAAATTCTGCCTTGCCATTGAGTTTGACAAGTAGATGCCCTCTTGCCCTTTGAGAATCTTTTGTACTTTCCATTGTCTTTCATTTCTTTCAGTTGTGCTAGCATTTGTCACGTGCCCAGCTGACACTGGGTTGGGTGGGAGCTTGGGCTTCACACACTTAGCTTCTATTAGTTCTCCATGCCACTTGCTGCCGTAATTGTGACATTATTTGCAAAGTACAGAAAATTCAGCTATAAATTACAGACAGTGCAAGGAGAGATGTGACCTGACGGCTTCGTTGCGCCAGGTCACCAAGACTACCCTCAGATTTGATGACTGGCTAAGAGGATTTGGGACTGCAGTATTGCCACGGCGAAATGCTTGCAGAGCAGATCAGCAAAGGGAAGCCGGTGCCCAGGCTGAAACCCGGAAAACCCAGGCTCAGTGAGAGTTGTGGCAGCACAGGGCACAGAGTGACGTGCCAGGGACAGTCAGGAGTGAGTCAGCCCTCGGGGTTTTGTTAGGGCCAGTCACCCTCTGCCTGCCCTGCACAGCAGAACTGCAGACTTACAGCAGGAAGCAGGTGTCCAGCCGGACTGCCGCATGGCTCGCCGCGGC